ATGGTGCCTGGCTACAACTAGTGACCGCCCTGACAGGGAACACAACAGCGTGTCCGTGATGGAGCGGGGGAAGGGTGGGATGCAGAACTCAAATTGTAGTACAAAGACCAGACTTAATGGTCTGACTGAGACTGGAGGAACCCCAGAAAGCATAGCCCCCGGATTCTCTGTCATCCCAGAACTAAAACAGTTCCTGAAGCCAACTCTTCATACAAAGTTTGGACTGCACTGTGGGACAGAGAATGATACTCGTGAAGAGTGTGCCTCTTAGCTCAAGTAAATACATGAGACTAAATGGGCAGCTTTTGTCCAGAGGTGAGATGAGAAGGCAGAGAGGGTTAGGAGCTAATTGAATGGACAAGGGAAATCAAGGGTGGAAAGGAGGAGTGTGCTGTTACAGTATAGGCAGAGCAATTAGGGTCACATAAGAATGTGTGTGTAAATTTTTGTATGCGAGACTAACTTTAATGGTAAACTTTTACTTAAACTACAACAATTTAAAAAAAAAAGAAAGTGGTCTGCATCCTGCTTTGGTGAGCAGCCATCTGCAATGCATCAGTTGGTCCCAGCCCACTTGGAGCAAAGGAGAATGAAGAACACCAAAGGCACAAGGAAAATATTAGCCCAAGAGACAGAAGGGCCACATAAACCAGAGACTCCATCAGCTTGAGACCAGAAGAACTAGATGTTCCTGGCTGCCATCAACGACTGCCCTGACAGGAAACACAACAGAGAGTCCCTGATGGAATGGGAGACGTGTGCAGCAAAACTCAAATTCATGTGAAAAGACCAGACGTAATGGTCTGAAAGAGACTGGAGGAATCCCGGAAGGCATGGCTCCTGGATGCGGTGTTAACCCAGAACTAAAACCTTTTCCAAAGCCCACTCTTCAGACAAAGATTACACTGGATTATAAAATATAAACTAATACTCATGAAGAGTGTGCTTTTTAGTTCAGTCAGATACACGAGACCAAATGGGCCACTCATGTTTGGAGGTGGGATGAGAAGGCGGGAAAGGACAGGAACTGGTTAAATGGACACAAGAAACCTGAGATGGAAAGGGGGAGTTTGCTGTCACATTGTAGGGATTGCAACTACTGTCAGATAATAATATGTGTATAAATTTTTGTATGAGAAATTAACTTGTGCTATAAACTTCCACCTAAAGCACACACACACACAAAGAACAATAGCTCAGGTAATAAAGAAAAGAAAAGAAAAGGATTGAAAAGAAAAAAGTATACTCCAAGAAATTTCAAAACCTAGAGAAAATAGACAAATTTCTAGAAACACACTACCTACCTAAAGTAACAGAAACTTAGATTGAAAATCCAAACAGACCCATAACAAGAGAAGTTAAAAAAAAAAAAAAAAAAAACCTCCCAACAAAATCAAGCACTGGCCCAGATGGCTTCACTGTAGAATTCTGACAAACATTCAGAGAAGAATTTGCACCAGTACTACTCAAAGTATTTTAGAACTTAGAAGACGAAGGAATTTTCCGAGTTCATTCTATGAAGTCAGCATACCCCTAATACCAAAACAAAGCAAAGACACCACAAAAGAAAATTATAAACCCGTATCTCTCTACAAACTTCTAGCCAGTAGAATTCAGCATCATACCCAAAACGAATATACCACAACCTAGTAGGATTCATACCAAGTATGCAAGGATGGTTCAACGTTAGAAAATCAATCAACGTAATCCACCACATAAATAAAAGAATTACATGATCATCTCAAATGATGCAGAAAAGGCATTTGATAAAGTCCAACACCCATTCTTGATAAAAACTCTCAATAAAATAGGGATAGAAGGGAAATTCCTCAACATACTAAAGGATGTCTACAGAAAACCAATGACCAATATAATTTTTAACGGAGAGAGTCTAAAAACATTCCCCCTGAGAACAGGAACAAGACAATGATGCTTTTTATTATGACTCCTATTTAACATTGTGCTGTAAGTCCTAACTTGAACAATAAGGCAAGAAAAAGAAATAAAGGGCATCTAAATCGGTAAGGAAGAAGTAATACTATTCCTGTTTGCAAATGGTGTGATACTGGATGTAGAGAACCCAAAAGACTCCACAAGAAAACTGCTGGAACTAACAGATTCAGCAGAGTAGCAAGATACAGGATAAATGTACAAAAATCAGTTAGATTCCTAGACACCAATAAAGAGAACTATGAAAAGGAAATCAGGAAAGCAGTACTGTTTTATAATAGCCCCTAAAAAAGTAAAATACTTAGGAATAAATCTAACCAGGGATGTAAAAGACCTATACAAAGAAACCTACAAAACACTACTGCAGGAAACCAAACAAGACCTATGTAAATAGAAAAACATCCCTTGCTCATGGATGGGTAGATTCAACATCGTGAAAATGTCAGTTCTACCCAAAGCAATTGTACAAATACAATGCAATCCTGATCCAGATACCAACAGCATTATTTAACAAGATGGAAAAACTAATCATTAACTTTATATGGAAAGATAAGAGGGCCTGGATAAGTAAAGCACTATTGAATAAGAATAACTTAGGAGGACTTGCACTATACAGCTATGGTAGTTGAAACAGCCTGGTATGGATACAACAGACACATTGACCAATGGAACAGAATCGAGAACCCAGATGTAAATCCATCCGCCTACAGTGCCCTGAACTTCAACAAAGGCCCAAAGTCCATTAAATGGGAAAAGACAGCCTTTTTAACAAATGGTGCTGGCAAAACTGGATGTCCATCTGTAAAAAAAAGAAACAAGATCCATACCTCACACCATACACAAAAACTATGTCAAAATGGATGAAGGACCTAAATATAATACCAAAAAGTATAAAGAACATAGAAGAAAAAGTAAGGTTAATGCCAGGGGCCCTAATACACAGCATAAATAGGATACAAACCATAACTAACAACACACAAACTCCAGAAGATAAACTAGATAACTGAGATCTTCTAAAAATCAAACACTTACGCTCATCAAAAGACTTCACCAAAAGAGTAAGAAGAGAACCTACAAACCGGGAAAAAGTTTTTGGCTATGACAGCTCTGACAAAGGTCTCATCTCTAAAATCTATAGGAAAATCCAACACCTCTACAACAAAAAGACTAATAATCCAAGTAAAAAATGGGCAAAGGACATGAACAGATACTTCACCAAAGAAGACATTCAGGTGGCTAAAAGACACATGAGGAAATGCTCATGATCACTAGCCATTAGAGAAATGCAAATCAAAAGTACAGTGAGATACTGTCTCTACCGTCTCACCCTGGCATTACTGGCATGAATCAAAAAAAACAAAAAAAAAACAAAATAAATGCTAGAGAGGCTGCGGGGAGCTTGGAACTCTTGCGCACTCCTGATGGGAATTCAAAATGGTACAACCATTTTGGAAAACAGTACAGCACTTCCTTAAAAAGCTGGAAATAGAAATACCATATGATCCAGCAATCCCTCTCCTAGGAATATATCCTAGAGAAATAAGAGCTGTCACACGAGTAGACATATGCACACCCATGTTCATTGCAACATTATTCACAATAGCAAAAAGATGGAAACCACCTAAGTGCCCATCAACAGATGAACGGATAAACAAATTATAGTATATACACACAATGGAATACTATGCAACAATAAAGAACAATGATTAATCTGCAAAATATCTCACAACATGAATGAATCTGGAGGCCATTGTGCTGAGTGAAATAAATCAATCACAAAAGAACAGAGTTTGAGACCACTATTTTAAAAATTCATGAAAAGATTTACACACAGAAAGAAATGATCTTTGATGCTTATGAGGGGGTTGGGTGGGGAGGGAAAAACACCAGCTAAACAACAGATAATTGGTAACGTTGGTGAAGGGTAAGACAGTACACAGTACTGGGGAAGTCCGCACACCTTGTGCAATCCAAGGTCATGGAAGCTTCATAGATACATCCAAACTGCCTGAAGGACTGAGTTACTGGGCTGAGGCCTGGGAACCATGATCTCGGGGGATATCTAGTTTAACGGGCATAATATAGTTTATGAAGAAAATATTCCTGCGTCCTGCTTTGGTCAGTAGTGTCTGGGGTCCTAAAAGCTTGTGAGTAGCCATTGAAGATACTCCATTGGTCCCACTCTGTCTGGAGCACGGGAGAATGAAGAAAACCAAAGACACAAGGGAAATATTAGTCTAAAGGACTAATGGACCACAGGTACCACAGCCTCCATCAGACTGAGTTCAACACAAACCAGATGGTGCCCAGCTACCATCACTGAGTACTCTGACAGGGATCACAATTGTGGTTCCCGGACAGAACTGGAAGAAAATGTAGAACAAATTCTAACTCACAAAAATAAGACCCGACTTAATGGTCTGACAGAGACTGGAGAATCTCCCAGAGTATGGCCCCTGGACACCATTTTAACTCAGTACTGATGTCACTCTTGAGTTTCACCCTTCAACCAAAGATTAGACAGGCCTATAAAACAAAATGAAAGTAAATGGGCACACCAGCCCAGGGGCAAGGTCAAGAAGCCAGGAAGGAATAGGAAAGCTGGTAACGGGGAACCGAAAGTCTAGAAGGGAGGGAAGAGTGTCGTCGCATCCTGGTGTTAGCAAACAGTATAACAAAACAATATTTGTATTAATTGTTTAATGAGAAACTAATTTGCTCTGTAAACCTGAATTCATCCAAAGCACAATTTAAAAAAAAAAAGAAAAATGCGAAGAATTTTCAGGTAAAGACAACAAAATGGAATCAGATCATAGAATTTGTCCTTCTCTTACTAAATGAACAAAAATAATAAAAATAGTAAAGACCAAAGTTCATCAACAGCGACCAAAGAAAGGCTGCAACCTGAGTCATTTAAAAAATAGAACTTTTTTCCTTACCACCACCAAAAACGGGAGGAGGGATATAAGTTCTGAATGAAGAAAAAACAAAAACCTAGCCTTGATAACATTTATTTTTGTTAATTGGATTCCTGATTTTATTTTATTTAGGTCATGCACATTCGGAAACTACTTCAGAAAATGGATCGTCCAAATGGTCTTTATCCAAATTATTTGAACCCAAGAACAGGGCGCTGGGGTCAGTGTAAGTATTTCTAGCACTACTGATGCTTTGTTGAAAGAGTATTTGTCTGAAATCACTTGCTGGATGTAGTGAAAATTGTATTAGATATGGACTTAGAAACCCTCAGTTGGTGTCTGATCTTGTGATCTACTGATACTGTTACCTTTGACACATTTCTGATCTCTTGAAGCTTCAGTTTTCCCCGTTATAAAATGGAAATATTGATAACCTGTTACACAAGAATGTGTTATTTCATGTATGTGTAAGTTCTTTGGAAAAATATAGTGTGGTATTGGGAAATGTAATACTTTAAATTCCTGTTAATAAATCATGCCATCATGTAAGTAAGAGCATTGTCTGAGATAGATACTTACAGGAGGAATATGAAGAACAATGTTACATGACTAGAAAACGGTCATTTGCTCTTGGGCGACTTATATCCAGTCATTCATTTTAAAAGAGGGTATCAGCATGTCCATTATTTACTAGGTTCTGTGCCAACTTCTTGGATGAGACTAGAAATGAGGAAAGAATATACAGGACTTGGTCTGCATTTGGAGAGCTCACAGACTATTAGGGTATAGGCAGACACACTTGGAAGTAGTTGGAATATATGTGATAAATGCTGTAGTAAAGAAACGTACCAATTGTTATATTATTATTTCCACTGCCTCAGGAGAAAGTTTGTTGTTTGGAAAGGGGGTGCTTTTTCTTATTAGAGCTTTAAAATTTATTTTTGAAGGAATTGATTTTTAAGAATAATTAAGTGGTAAATGTTAATGTGGACTTATTGGAACTTAAAAAATTTTAGTAAATTATAGGTACCATAACTAAGAGAGTTCTGACTTTGTCCATAGTATAACATCTTTGAGTTATTTCTCAGACTAATAAAATCATAATGAAGTAGTAAGTGGCAAAAATATCATTTAATTTTATTTATTGAAAATACTGCTGCATCCACAATTGAAAAAGTATGCTGATATGAAAACCAAAGATAGTAAAATATTTGCCATGAAATTGTCACTTGGACTTCGGTCAAAGAAACTATCCTTTATGCAAGGAAAGCACATTGATCAGTACAGTTATGTCTTTCATGAATCTGGAAATAGATCTCAATCTTTTGGCTATGATAGGAATCGACTCGACAGCAACTGGTTTGGTTTGGTTTTTTTCCTCTCCTGAAATTCTTTATAAGTACCTCGTTTTTTTCTTTATTTTGAAGAAAATATAAGGCCTAATGCCTAAACTGAGTGGAAATAATACTTTTTGAAGAACCAAAACCCTGAGAGCAGCATTTCTAAAATATAAAGTGCATTTTCCTTTTCTCAGAGAAGAGTGACTAGATTGGATGTCTAGTCAGTAATTTGGGTGGATTTGATTTAATTTTTCCCCGTAGAATTTCATTAAGATTTGGAACTATAACATTTGGGGAAAAAAAATTATGTTTGATTCCTTCCTTTTGCCATATGCCAATATATATTGTTTATAGTATAACTTTTCAAATGTAAAAAATGAAACCATTGAAGTATTAGAATATGGTTGAATATATAGTTATAATCAGGAAAGCCTTTTCTAAGCATGTCATATAAAGCAGAAACCATAAAGAAAAAGATGTCTGTTTTTACTATATATAAATGTTAACCCTCATATATTTCATAGCCTACCATCAAAAGAATCAAAAGTGAAGTAGCAAACTAAGGAAATATATTTGGACATATTTGGAAAACAATGTTTTTATATCCTCTATTTCAAGAACTCTTATAAAATGATAAGAAAAATATGATCACCCCAATGGAAAAATGGGCTAAGAAAAGTTAATTCATTTTAAAAAAAAAACAACAAACCACAAATGGACAGTAAACAAGTGTTTTCTTATTTAGCCCTAAAAAATGGTGCTAATGAAGATAAATGGTACAGATTGCTGCTATTGCACTAGAGATTACAAAGCCTACCATATTTGTAGCACCTTCATGGACTGGTGACCAGAAACCTTTGTCCCTCTCTGCTCCTACTTCACCCCAATCCTAATCAAATCAATACAGCTTCTAAACAGAAGACACTATTCTTTATCTATTAAATTGACTTAAAAAAAACCTAAACCTCTTGCCGTCGAGTCAGTTCTGACTCATAGCCACCTATAGGACAGAGTAGAACTGTCCCATAGGGTTTCAAAGGAGGAACTAGTGGAGTCGAACTGCTGACCTTTTGGTGCTTTTGGTTAGCAGCCATAGCTCTTAACCACAATACCTCCAGGGTTCCATTAAATTGCCTAAGGGAATGGATGTTTCCCTGTACCCACTGATTCAAAGAGTCTTGAAAATTTGTAGCCTTTTGAACCAGTGACTCATTATTAGGAACTTACTCCAAAGAAATTATCAGAGGTATATGTAAAAGTTTATTTACAATAACTTTTGAGTTATTTTAAAAGGGATAATTTGGAAACATTCTACAACAGTACTGTCCAATTTCTGTAATGGTGAAAATGTCCTATATCTGTGCTGTTTAATATGGTAGTCATTAGCCATATGTGACTTTTGAACACTTGAAATATGGCTAGGAACTACATTTTAAATTTTATTTACTTTTAATTAATCTAAACTAACATAGCCACATGTGACTTAGTGGCTGTTGCCTGGAACAGCATAATTTTTAAACATCCTATAATAGGGATTTGATTACATTTCAATGGTACCTTCTAATGTGATATACTGTGCAACCATTAAAAGGGATATTATAGAATACTTGATATAGATAAATATGATATACTAGAAAGATATTTAGAAAGAGAAAACAAACACTATAGGAATAACAACTTAAGTGTTACCGGTGGTTTTTCGAGTGGTGTGATGATATGATGATTTTATTTTCTTCTTCTTATTTTCCTTTATTATTCATATTTGATAGTGAACATGTATTACTGTTGAAGTAAGATAAAAAGCATTTTTTAAATAAAAAAGATGTCATCTACTACAATAAAATCTTAGAATACTGAAAAAAAAAAATCACTATTTGAGAATTTGCCAGCTTTGAAATGACCAACAGTATAGCATTGATGGCAGTGTAGTTATTAAAAAGACAACTCTTTTAATTTCCTGTTTTTTTTTCCCCTGCAAAATAAATTCAGGTTGCCTCTTTATAATATATTCATTCTCTGGAGTTAATGGTTTTGATAATATTAGAGAAAGAGCTATTCACTAGTTATTTTGGTAAGTGGTCTTTAAAATCCTAGGGGAGCTGCCCTGATATCCCTTTAGCAGCTGTATTCCTTACTAAAATAAATAGTTCAGTTTGTTCCTTTTAATGTTTTTGTACATTTTATTTCAGTTCTGAAAAGTATGTCAAATTCCTTTATTGTATCTGAGCAGTATACATCTGCCATATCTATAAATATCCTGGAAAACAAACAATGAATTGAACTGAAATTTAACAGTTCAGCTTTGGCTAACTGTATTATAATTAGAGTACCGATAATGTCTGTGATATGCATATAGCAATCACAGAGAATAATTACTGGTAATTACCTTCAGGAAAAGTACTTGGCAACAGATATGAAAGATTATTGTAAGGAACATCGATTTAAAGAAACGTCATTAGTTTTTTTTCTTTTTTTTTACTTTAAGTTTTCACTAGTTTTCTAAGTACAGTGCTTAGCCTATGCCATTTAATGAAGAAAATGTAGGAAATCAGTCTTTACTGATTCATTAAATTTTATACTTTAAAGTTAAAAATTGTGGGAAAAACAAGAATGGGTATAATATTTGGAATTGGAAGATTTAAATTCTAATCCTGGCTTTTATTCTAGACTTCCCTATAAGAACAACTTCAGGAATAACTTCTGTTAGAAACCTGCCATTAACTGCATGACGTGCTGGGATAGGTCATATGAATCATTGATATTTAGGAGTGCCTTATCACACGTCATCAATTTCTGAATATCAAAAGGACCTTGGAGTGAGAAAGTTCATCAAAATTGACACCTAGGCAGGCATGGTTCAGGGGTTCAAATAAGAAAGTCCAACTACTAGGTGATATATTCCATAGTTACCATGGATCTCAGGCTTCTGCTATGTATTCATTTCTTAAAGCACATAATTTTTCACTGGAACAGCTGCCTAGAAGAGCTGCAAAGGAGATTAAAATTGCCTCAGGAACCTGACAGGCAGGACTGGGGCTAAAGCCCATAACCTAAGTAGCCTAGAACTAAGACTGTAAACCCTAGCAATAATTCAAAGATGTTAAAAAACATTTTTCGTAAATCGTGATGCCTTTCTCTGCTCTCCCCACCTTATTCATTTGCTTTAGTTCTGTTATCTCTTCTTTAACTTGTTTTCTTTGTTACTCAATTGCTAATCCTTTTCTTAGATCTGCAGTGTATCCACAAATAGATAAATGAAACCAAAGGGCAAAATAAAAATTAAAAATATTCTGTAGGTTATTTTAATGTTTCTTACTTGTAAAAATGTCATATTGGGGCTTCTTTGCCTGTTTCCTTACTGCTTTTTCATACTTTTAAAATAGATCCCACCTGACTATGAAATTAGCTGTCAACAAGGATACTTTTTGTACCTTTCTAACCGTAGTTTTATACGTGATCATTCCATACTGTTACTTTTAGGCTTAATATCTTTCTTTTCATTCATTCCCTAACACATTTATTTAGATGTTGATGTATTCATGAAAATTGTACCTCATATTCTGTGAACTTCCGTGTTTTTTAAAATTAAGAAAATGTTTCAAATGTAAGTAACAATGATATATCCAAAGAGAACAGCAGTTTACTCTGAAAGAGGTTGATTTATGCTGTTTTCGGGTTTTCATTGTCTTAAGGGTGAGGAGAAATTAGGTACATAAAGTGATGAAAATATTCCGATTCCATAGAAACATGTCCCACTGAAGTTATTATAAGTAGAATTAGCACTGAGTTAGTGACCTGGCAATCAAGAAGTTTCTACCATTTAAGTAATTAGTACAAGAAATTTTGAATAAAGGATTAAATTGTTTGTGGGCTTGAGAGGTTTTAT